TTGTGGGGATACAGGCAGGATCCCGAGGCTGAGGTGACACTGTGCATTAGGGAACAGCCTGGAGAGCTCTGTAGCAGCTGGGCTGGGCTTGGTCGGATGGTGAGGCACCCCCGAGGAGGGGCAGGGTGGCAGCTGGGGCCAGGTGGGAAGCACCCACGGCTCCTTCTGTGCCAGAGATCTTCTGTCGCTGAACGGAACCTCCGCTGCAGATCTGTGACTCATCTGCCTCCAGGTACCAAATTTGTGTTTGCAGATAAGATTATCCAGGGATTAATTGTGGAGGGAGAAGAGAAATGTAGATTAGTCATCCCTTGAGAACAGACATAGATCAACAGCATTTAGAATTACCTTTGGGTGTTTAACAGCCACGGATCACCAGAGTACCTGAACACCTACCATGTAAAATCAACAGTCTCGTTAATTATGAAAAATAATTCATGTCACACCAATCTAAACCCACTAAAATCACTTCTGCATTCATCCCAGAGGCAGCTGTATCATTCCTGCACTCGCCCCAGGGCCAGCAGAATGTCTTGAATACCATTTCTTCCTACACCTTCTCCAGAAAACTGGGGTGGGAAGGCCTAGCAGCAGCAAAATTCCACAGCTTAATCCTCCCTTTTGCAGGAACCACTGCTGGGGAGAGCCCTGGTGGCTTTCAGAGCCAGGAATGCACCTGGGGAATCATCTTTGGTGTCTCCACCCACGCAGCCACCTTCTCTCTGTGCACCCAACTGTGCCTGGCCCTGCAGCAGTGGGAGAGGATGGATTTGCCCTGCACTGGGTGTGTGCCTGTAGGGGCTCCATGATTCCCAACCCCTAGAGGTGGACAGAGCTCTGCACCCCCAACATTCCACCCCTAACCAAATCCAGGGAGCAGGTTGCCTAAATTGGGAGCTTTGGTTCTGCTTCTCCAAGCACGTGCGTGACAATAGGATCTTCCCTTACCTAAGAGAAGGAACACAAAGTGGGAAATCACACTCCACACACGCTGAGGGCTGCCTGGATCCACCAGGAGGGCCGGCCCCGCTCAGCTCCCGCCGGGTATTTGCGATGCCGCGTGTGGATCCGAGCGTGGTGCAATCACAAAGAATAAACAGTAGCAATTACTTAATACTTGTGGTGATGGAGTATTGAAAATTAGCGCCGGAGTTAAGCGCTAATAAGACACGTAGCACACCGTAAGCCTCTGAATTTTATAGAGTAGGATCAAGAGTAAATAAAATTACAATTTAAACAAAGGCAGATAATTTAATTATCTTGTAGGCACAGTACTAAAATTTGGAGTGATTGGCTAATCAATACGTTATTACACAATGCAACAGTGCGACCTGCCTGGGAGCTGGTAGGAAGTGGATACTCAGGAACCAGTCAGGGTGGGGTGGTGGGAACCAGCAGTGCCAGAGCCTGGCAGATCCCTGGGGCTGGGATGTCTGGGAGGCATCGTTAGCATTCAAAGGTACCCATGGGAGCAGAGGTAGAAACACTGAATCATTGAGGTTGGAAAACCTCTCTGAGATCATCAAATCCAACTGTTCCCTGAGCACTGCCAAGGCCACAACTGTCCCCAAGTGCCACTTCTACAGTTTTTGAACACCTCAGGGAGTGGTGATTCCACCATTGCCATGGGCAGCCAGTGCCAGTGCCTGACTAAATTCCAGAGGGTTGGAGCTGTACAAGGAAGGAACGTTAGGTGCTTTCTCTGATCCCTTCATGTGTTCTTTTGATTCACAAGTTTTCAGCACTTTGACATTTAAATTTGACATTTAAATTGAACTTTCTGGAAATGAGCAAAATGAGGGAGGCAGGCACAGCTCTGAGAGCAGCGAGGAACAGCCACCTGCAAAGGTGTGTAAAACCCTTCCCCAGAGCAGCAGCTCAGCCGTGGTGTACCCATGCAAAACTGCCTGGGATGGTGTAATGCCAGCCTTCACCATCAAAATGCTCACAGGGTCTTTGGAGCTTTCCAGTCTGTCCCCTGCTTTGGGTGACCTTCCAGACAAGGTGAAAAGTTTCCTTTTCTCTTGGTGTTTCTTTGCATTAAGCCTTGAGGTCTGTTCTCCATCTCTGATGTCCTCCTCCAGTCCCATCAAGGAAGCTCCACTTCTCAAGGCCATCTGAGCTCACAACCCTTTTGCACCCAGAGATTCCTGACCCTGAAGCTCCTAATATCCCTCTCCACATGAGACATGAGGACAAGCAGGACAGCGCTGTCCCCTCACACACACCCCATGGGAAATGTGCACGATGAGTGTTCCTCCAGCCAGATCCTCACCTGGCAGGATCCGGCATTGCCACACCGGTGTTGGGGGGGATTGTGCCAAATTCCACCAGCTGAGGATTTGGCTGCTGCACCCAGCCAGCTGAGATTTGTGAGGAGCAGTAGCTGCATGCCAGCATGAAATGCCAGGCTTTGGTTCCACATCGATACCAATCATCTAAGGGAAAGCAGCTCTTCTTTCCAGCCCATTGTATTTCGCTAATTTAATTCCATTCTGTATGTCAAATCACATTATATATTCACACGATGGAGGATCTATTCTTTTCTTTATTAATATTAAGACATTTATTTGCCATTTTTTAACAAAATTGAAAAGGAATCAAAACCTCATTTACTGGAAAAGCAGCGCTATTGACGTGCGTGCAGCACTGCAGCTGTCTCGCTGTGTGTGGCTCACCTCTCTCTGCAATCTTTTTTTCCCTTTTCCAAAATCCAGCTCAGGCACACAACTCCCCCACCAGGCCCCCACAGGATTTCATACAGCCAAACCCCTCCTCCACAGAGCACACCCCAGTTTGGAAGGACCAGCAGGGAGGGCACGGGGCAGCGGGTGTGCAAATGTTGCTCTCTGGTGCAGAGGGGATGTGATCTCTCATCCTGTGCTCAAAGGACTCTCCCAGTGAGGAATCATAGAGTCATGGAACTGTGGAATGGCTTAGGTTGAAAGGGATCTTAAACCTCATCTTGTTCCAGTACTCCTGACATGGGCAGGGACACCTTCCACTACCCCAGGCTGCTCCCAGCACCATCCAGCGGGCTTTGGACACTTCCAGGGATGGGGCAGCCACAGCTTCTCTGGTCACCCCATGCCAGGGCCTCACCACCCTCACAACTAAGAATTTCTTCCAAATAGCCAGTCGAAACCTATTCCCCATTGTCCTGTCCTTCCATCCCTTGTCCCAAGTTCCTGTCCAGCTCTTCTGGAGTCCCTTCAGGCACTGGAAGCTCTCCCTGGAGCCTTCTCTTCTCCAGGTGAGCACCCCCAGCTCTCCCAGCCTGGCTCCAGAGCAGAGGGACTCCAGCCCTGGAGCAGCTCCGTGGCCTCCCCTGAAGACAAGGATAGAGAGCAGAGTGATTAGGAGAGGGGGTTTGGCTTGCCCCGTGGAAATCCTCCTGCAGCTCTGACACAGGTGATTCCAGTACCTCGTGCTTATGCAACGGCAAGATGAACGTTCCATTTCTCATGAGGACATGAGATCACCCCATTTATTTTGTAACTTGCCCTCCTAGACTTTGCACTTCTGTCTGCACAGAGAATGTTGGAAGCTGGTGATGTGAGCCTGGGAACCCTTCCAGCCTCTGCAGTGCAGAGCTCCTCTATCCCATGGTTGGGAATTGTCCAGGGATTCAGTGGACAGAGGCAGGAGATGGGCTGGGTGTGCATGGCCATGGTGGTGGGCTCTGAGTTTGGAAACCCCTGCACTGAAAGGTTCTGGGGTCCAGCCAGGCCCCAGGTACTGAAGCACACTCCTCACACTCATTAGACCACAGAGCCTGGGAAAGTATGGGAAATCTCCCTCTGTGACCTTGGTGGGGAGCAGATGACCTCTCCAGCTGCTGTAAAATAATTTTAATGATGTTTCGGGGAGGGGACTATTATTTGACTGAGAAACTCGGGCATTTTGTGGAAAATGCTATTTTCCTGTGGAAGCTGAAGATTGACAGCTGGAGAAATGGAGTGAGAAGTGGCAGTGGCCATCTGCAGTGCACAGGAGTGTTTTTCCTCCATCTGCCTGCCCAGTTCTTTGTCTCCTTTTCTCCAAGCAGAATGGTCCTCAACAGCTCTGATATTTCCCTTTTCTTAGAAACATCATCATTTTGGGGGGGTTTTGAAGGTTATTAATTCAATGTCGTGGCCAGGGGAAGTTGTTGTACAAGGCACTGAGCTCCTCTCTCCATTCCAGCTGCAAGGTGGGTGGTTTGGGTTGTTTTTCCCTTTTCTGAAGATCTTTGCGGGCAGGTCCTTGGGAGACTCAAATAGCTTGGAAAAACTTTGTTCAGCTCCAGCTGCCATGGATCTGAGCTGTGGCTTTGTCACTTATCCTCCAGCACAAGCGTTGCTGGAATTAAGGACACAAAACAGGGGTGAAGGAACGTCCCTGTCCCATTTCCACAGCACAGCAGCCAGGAAGGGGCTGGGTGAGTTTATGGCATTTTTGGCTAATGAAGCACAGATCTGCATTGCAGTAATTGCAGGGAGGGGTGGAGATCCCAGCAGGGGCTTTGCAGAGAGTGCTGAAGCAGAGGCGGGAGCAGCTCGGGGACGTTTGCTGAGCTGTACAGCTCAGTGTGGCACCTGGGCTGGTCCAGTGCCAGCACAGGCAGTTCTGCAGTGGCTGCTGTCACACGGGGCAGGTTTGGGCAGGGCTGGCACTCACAGGTCCCCCTGTGGCCTCCTGCCAGCAGACAAGGCCAGTTGTGAGCTCCTCCATCCCACCCTGACTCAAAGATGCTCAGTTCAACCTGGCGTGACCCCGCAGGGCTGGCCAAAGTCTCTCAGCTGGAAAACCCTGGTAGTCTCTCAAGGTTTCTTTCCCCCTTGTAGGACAGAAGGATGGTGGGATGTAGGATGGTGCCATCAGGGTGCAACCATTCCCTGGCATTGTTCAGAGCAGCTGTGGCTGCCCCTGGATCCCTGACAGTGTCCAAAGCCAGGCTGGACAGGGCTTGGAGCAGCCTGGGATAGTGGGAGGTATCCCTGCCCATGGCAGGCGGTGGGACAGGGATGGGCTTTAGGATCACTTCCAACCCAAACCATTCTGGATTCACCAGATTTTTCTCCAGCCTTACTGGGTGGTTGGGACCAGCCCATTGCCTGTCCCTGCTGGTGAGATGCCACAACCTCTTCCAATAAACCACTCATCTTGTACCCAGAGCTAAGAACTGGCAGCTGGCACCACAAGAGATTGGCAAGGGTGTCAGGTCTAGGTTGGATACTATGGAAAGGTTCTTCCCCCAGAGGGTGCTGGGGCACTGGAACAGCCCCCCAGGGAATGGGCACAACCCCAGGGCTTCCAGAGCTCCAGGAATATTTAAACAACTTTCTCAAGGACAGGGTGTCATTGTTGGGATGTCTGTGCAGGGCCAGGATTTGAACTCAATGATCCTTCTGCATCCCTTCCAACTCAGAATTTTTTCATGATTCTGTGGTTCTACGATTTCTCTTTCTATAGCAGACTCCAACACAGCACAGCTCGCCTGAAGTACAATAAAAGATAGATTTTCTTGTAAAATCAAATGTTTTATAGAAGAATATTTTAAAAAAACACCAAAAAACACCACCCCCCCACCCCCCATTCTTTTCCTGCTGTATCAACATAACCTGATAGCAAGCCATTGCTTTGATGAGGTCTGCGTGTTTCCTTTCTGGTTTATGGTATCGTATGATTATAAAGTTGAAACAATAAAAGCAAATCAAAGCCCTTTGATAGCATGAAAACAAAACATTTGGGGTTTGGCTAAAATGAATTATATTGCTGGAGCTGCACTGAAGTGCTTGGATTTTTAGGACTGCCTTGTGGTGCATCTAAAAAAAAAGAAGCTTTACATTAAGTTTAGGTAAATTTTAAAACAAACCATCATTTCGAGAAGAAAAAAAACTAATGCTGTGCTTTGAGAAGGCAGAGATAAAAACTTCCCAATCTTCCCATAGAAGAAGAGTATGTCCAATTAAAAGTGTTTCAAGCTGGTTGTCAACGATTTTGGGACATTATCTGACTCTTCAGTTTTCAGCAAATGAGGTTTCTGATTGGAAGGAGCTCACCCATCTGTAGGAGAGTGTCCTATATAGAGGACTAATAATGTTGGCATGAATAATTCATTGATCTTTATTACATCGAAAGGTATGTGTGGAGTGTGATGCACACACAGTCTCATCAAAGAAAGGCATATTCAGTTAAAAATAATCAGTTTGACTGTAGATTTTGAGAGTGTTTGATGGATTAACTCCAGCAAATCAACACCAAACTCGACTTTTGTTTGTCTCTCCCCAATCTGTAGGGAGATTATTAATATCATGTAACATTCAGTTAATAGGTCAGATGTGAGACCTTATTACAGATCGGGGATAAATTGCCTCTCCGGTAGCACATCCCTGACCTTCACAGACTTCAGAGTTCAATATTCAGCCTTCATCCATCCAGCCTTAATTACTGTGTGCACGAGCATTAGCACCACCACGAAAGGGCCGAGTTCATGCAGCCAGGACCCTGCTTTGCATCATCTCTCTGCCTGGGAAGGACAGGAAAAAGTCTTTGGCAGGGTTAGACCCAGGTTTAGACTTCATGTCTAAATTGTCTTTTAGTTGTTTTACATGCAAAAATTTACTCTGGGTTTTGTGGAATTGAGGGACTATGATACTTTCTGTCTCATTAATCACCCTGAGAGCTTTCCAAATATTCATTAACTGATCTTGTTGCATCCGGATTTTGGGGGTGCCTTTGGGTGCTTTCACCCGGGACGGGTTCTCAATTATTGCACAAAACAACTGCAGGGGTAGAGCTGGTTCTCCCAAAATCCCACAGATCAGAGAGGATTTGGTTTGTTCAGGGGAGACATCACCATCTGCAGCTTTCTCCCGAGGGACAGGTGCCGATCTCTTCTCTCTGTGACCACGGACCCAGGGCATGGCTGGAGCTGTGCCAGGGGAGGTTCAGTTTGGGTTTAGGGAAAGGTTCTTCCCCAGAGGTGCTGGCACTGCCCAGGCTCCCCAGGGAATGGGCACGGCCCCGAGGCTGCCAGAGCTGCAGGAGCCTTTGGCCAGCACTGCCAGGGATGGACAGGGTGGGATTGTTGGGGGTCTGTGCAGGAGCAGGGGCTGCCCTGGATGATTCTGGTGGGTCTCTCCCAGCTCAGGAGATTCTGTGATTTGCACAGGAGAGCTGTTGTGCTTTTTCTTCACTTAAGAGCAGCCAGAATGATTTGTGGTGTTGTCTCTAATTGAGGATGGATGAGACCAGGGGTGGTTGTAAGGTGAGAAATGTGGGTTTGGAGATGGATTTGATGATCCAACCTGCCCCATCCCTGCTCCGGCTGTCTGAACAAAGGGCGGTGTGCGTGTGGCCCCTGAGGAAAAGCTCAGGAGGGTCCTCAAAGAGAACTTCCCTGGAAATGTATCTTTTCAGTTTTACTCAATTCTACTCATTTCACCGGGGGAAAGTCGATGGCCTTCATTACGAGTCAGAGCAGGTGACATAATTCTCCTTCTGTGCTTTCAAATCTATGAACACACGAACTTAATATTACCAACACAGATACAAATAGCATTTTAACGCAGTATTTATCACAGCGCCTTCTCAGGAGAAAATCTATCAAAGCTTTAAATCTAAAACTCTCCCATTCTTCTCGAGCAACAAGATCAATTCATTAATATTTGGAAAGCTCTCAGGGTTATTAATCATCTGTTATTATTTTATTTATGTACCTCTTAGTAAGAAAAAGCGGACGAACCAAGGCCAGTCTCACTGATTGCAGCTTTTAACTTGGGGGAATGCGATGGGAGAAGGATGGGAGCAATTTTACTGGGGGAAAAAACATCCTTTGTGCTTGCAATTTGCATGGCAGAGGTAATAAATGACGCTGCAAGTAATCTAAGGCTGAGAAAGGTAGCAGGTTAATTGTCTTATAATTATGAATTCACTTTGTATCCGTGGCCTTAGCAGAGATCATAATGAATTTATTTAGCATTCACGGGGCCATCGTGGCACTTTCCTTCCATCAGTGTGGGCAACACCTATGTTGCCCCAGGGTGGCCGTTCAGGGGCTGGTCTGAGCCCAGACTGGAGTGGATGGAGCAGAGGAGTTATTAAACCATGCCACACATCAGCCAGGCAGAGAGGTCAGCCCCCTAAATGAGTTTAGCTCCTTCCCTGGGTCTATCTCAGATGAGTACCCACAGCTTGAAAATAAGTTTGTAATTGACTGATCCAGACAGATGAGTTTGGGAAGAGGTGATTGATGTCAGCAATATATCTGAACACAATCAGCCTGGCCCAGAATACTAATCTGACAGCCTTCAGCAGCTCAGAGCTGCTGCTCAAACACACTTTGGGTAAGTAGATCGTGCGTTAGCCATCGCCTTGGGCTTCTGCTTGCTCCTGCCTTGGAAGCAGTGAGGGAGCAGGAGCTGCCTGTAATGCTGGCCACGGGTCTATGTACAAATCACAAACGGGATGGGGCTGCTGTGGAACACATCTCAAGGTGTTTATTTTCCAGCATCAGTCTCATTACATGGTATGGGACATTCCCATTAGGACAATGGGAAGATGCCAGTAGCTCACGTTCTCGGCAGCAGCCACAGAACTCAGTGTTACAACTTACTCTAAAAGCTTTTTGACCAATCACACAAAGCAAAAGCATATTGACACTAGTTCTATCCAGCCACTAAAAGCATTCGTACCTTTGGTTAAAACAATGCTCACTTATTTCAAATACAATACTTGCTTGCAAGCCTTAAGATAAAATGCACAGAGCTCCATTATTAAGCTTAGAACTTCCTAATATCTCACTAGATATACTTTTCTGTAGGTTAGGGAGTTATTCTAGACAAGCATTAATACACAGACCATTGTTCTATTTGTCCTTACTTTCTACATCTTACATAACTTTTCTGCTGACAAACCTTACGGTTACTGCTTAGCTCTAATTGCAGTTCTGCTGTTTCTGAGGCCTGCTTTTTGCAACTTTCCCAAAACCCTGAGATTTTAAGGATTCCCTCAGCCTGATTTGCAGTGTTTTATTTGTGTTGAGCCGTGGGTTCACTCTTCAGGTCTCAATGCCACCAAGTATTTCAGCACACACTTACATTTCAGCTCACGAGTAGTTGGGCTGATCTTGGCGTTATCTGCCTCAAAATGTCAGGAACAGGTGAGGACTGTGCTAAATCAGGCCAGAGGCAGGACTGGGAAGTTAAGCTCATGCTGGAAGGCTGGAAGCAGTGGGGCCTGCATGCTCAAGAGGTTCACACAGACTTGTGCAGTAGAGCAGCTTTCCACACCCTTTGTCCTGGGCAGCCTTTTGCTGAGCCTTGTGCTAAATGGCAGAGAGACAAATTCCAGGGTTACCCCAAGGTCCTTTTCAAGCCTCTGGTCCCCAGGGCTTCAGGGGCTGCCACCCTCACCAGGTCACCAGGCTTGGGAAAAGAAAGCTCTGGGAAATCAAGGTGGGGCAACAAAAGCAAAGCTTTCTGCTCCCTGGCTGGAAAGGGGCAAATGGCAATGGTAGGGTGGGTAAGTAGGAAAATCCACATTTCCCCACTTTTGGTGCAGAGACATCTCAGACAAAATCATGGTTTAGTTGCTTTGTTGCAAAACCGAAATTAGGTGCTGGAGATTCTTCACCTTGAGGAGCAGCACAAGGAGCCTTTTCCCTGGGTATTTTCTGGCTCATTAGATTGATGGTGCACTCTGGGTGAGTGACAAAGTTTGAAGGCTCTGTAAGATCCTTGGCATTCCTTGCTTTACCAGCTGATGACCTCGGAGCCTGGGATGCATGTGGGGAAGGTCAGGGCTCCAGCCTGGCTCCCTTGATAAAGCAGCCACCATGAGGAGGTGTGGAGATGCCACAGACAATGTGACATTTCCCTCGACTTTTTGTTGTTTGGAAACCCCTTGTTTCCCTGTGCTGTCCTGCCCAAGACCTGCTGGAGCAGCAGGCAGCAGGGAGGACCAGGCAGGGATCACTGTGGAGGACACAGGAACGGGGGGATGGAGCTTCCTCTCCTCCCCAGCCTGTTGCACCTCTCCTGTCCCTTGCCAAGAGCCTGGCTGGCGTTCCCCAGCCATGAGCAGTGTCCCTCTGAGCTGTGTCTGTCTGTCCCCACCCTCAAACACCTCACAGCCTGCAGGCCTTGCTGAGCAGCAGCAGCAGAATGGTGGCTGCCAGTGGGCAGGAGCTGCTCTGTTCCTTCACCAGCTCCTCCATCGCCAACCTTTGCCTGACACGGGGCCTTGAATTGGTGTGTGGGGTGGTGTCTGTGCCACTGCTGCCCCATTTCTCCTCCCTCTGGGTGTAGTGCCTCCAGCCAGGGCTGGGATGGCCCTGGGACAACAGGCACAAGCTGTCAGGCATTGCTAGAGGGTCCCAGATTTGCACCTCTCCAACAGGGACGGAGCACATCACCGAGCTGCCTTTCCAGGGAACAATTATCCATCCAGCTGCCAGTGGTATTTTCCTTCCCCTACCCTCTTGCTCCTCCCCAGCTCAGCAGGGACCCCAGGACGGGTCCCTCCTGCCCCTCCTGCCCTCTCCCAGCTCTCTCCTGCTCTGCACTGTTTGCCATCACTGCAAGCCTGTCCCCACCTAAAGGGGCTGCTGTTCCTTTCATCTCTGCATCTCTTTGACTCTTCATTCTTTTGCCTTGTCTTCCTCGCTGGCAGGATATGAAAAAGCCACAGAAATCGAATTCCATTTAAAGGCATCCACCAAGAGAGGATTTTTTTTTTTAATCCTCCTTCCCCTTCTCTCCTCCTTAAAATGAAGTTTTGTGCACTGCTCATTAGATGATAAGTGAATACAGAAAAACCTTTGAGCGAAGGTAATTCCAGGCGTGTGGAAGAGGGCTCTGGTGCTGGCTCCACATTTATGAATGCAAACGAGTCCGGGCATCCTGTGGGGATGCTTTGTCAGTCCTTTTATCTCTAAAACCAAAGTTCAAACTGACTTCCTGAGTCAAGAACCATAAAATTATTCTGTTGAAAGAACTCTCAAATGCCATCGGTGGAGGGGGGAGACCTTCATTTCCCAGCCTCTGAACTGGTCTGTGCATGTGCAGGGGAAATGAAAGAGCCCTTCATTATCGGGGTGCTGTTCAGCCCCGTGCTGCTCTCCTGTAATTGATGGAATATATTATGCTCCAACAGGGAAGGTCCAAATGGAAATCCCTAATAATAATAATAATAATAACTCAATGTGTTTCAGTCGCCCATCCAATCCCCAGATCTCAAAGTGCTTTTGAGACAATTAACCGAGGACCACAGAAATCCTCATCAAGCCAGGATGTGACAATCACTTTTGCCTTTGTCACAAATCAAAGGAGCTGTAATTTGAGGGGTGTCCCTCCAGTCGGGGCTTCATCTGAGCACCATCAGCACCCCAAACCCATGGAGTGTGGGAACATGGATAACCCTTAATAAATCATTCTGTTGGTGCAAATAGGTTGAAATTGAAGTGAGAGGATGCTTTAGGTGCCAACACAACCATGGACATGGGCTAAAGCTGCCCAGGAGCCTGGCCATGGTGGTCTGGGGTATTTTGAGGAAGGTTTCCAGGATGTGCCATTAAAGAGCTGCAGGTCTGTAGGACTGGGGCATTTGCAGGTGACTTTGGAGCAATTAATCTCTGGAGCACCATTCTTGTGCACAGAGAGGAATTTTTTGTGTTGCAAGCACCCCAAAATCAGTCAGATCTGCTGCATCAGAGGTAAATTTGTACAGGCTGCAAATTTCAGTTGGGATGGTGTGAAAACACAAGCACAAACATGCCAGAAGCCAGACAGATAAAACAGAGGAGCACAGGGCAGGGAAATGACAGCAGAGGAGGAGAAATACAACTGGTGTGACTGCCAGCACATCTGTCCCAGTTACCTCCCACCAAGGAGACACTACAAGGCCCCAGTGCCAGTGCCATCCCTGTCACAAGCCACTCAGCCAAATACTGTCAGCATTCCAGAGGTCTGGATTTCACTGTGGCACCAATTAACAGTACAGTTTACAGGAAGTTTGCTGTATTTTTTTTTTTTTGGTGGATTTTAAATTGCACTTTTTTTTTTTTTTTTTTTAGTAGCTTTTCCTGCAGAGATAAACTGCTGCAGTGGGTTGGGGACCAGAACAGCTTCTGATACCTCTTTAGCTGAGCATCAGTGGCAAAGACATCTTTGCCCACCCAGCTGTGATCTAAATCCCACTGGTGCCAGCACAATTCTCAAGCAGCTCCTGCACACAGTTCACCTGGAGCAGATGGAAACCCTCCAGGGGCTGAAAGGAGAGCTCAGGCTCTGTTCCCTTTCAGCTTTTTTCAGGGATATTTTACTGCCAAGCAGCATGCAGCCAGGGAAGGATCTTGGGCTATCCAAGACAATGCTGAGCTCCGTGTTGCTTTCACAGCCTGTGGGGAGCAATACTGGAGGATGTTCCTGTTCCTGTCCAACCCTCCCTCCAGCTGGTTCCTTCCACTACCTCCCAGCACTGCCTAAAGGTGCAGGACCCTATTTAATTAAGTAACAAGAATCGAATGTGATAGCTACAAGCATCAGCTAATTAAAAGGAGGGGAATTGCAAAAGAGAAGTGCCATGAATTCACTGAAAATCAATCAAATTAGAGTGTCTCATCATCCCCTCAAATGGGCCTGATCTTCTCCCTCTGTCTTGCTGCTTAACCCTTTGTACCAGCATATTTTGGTTGGTGTTAGGGGAAGGTGCTGCAGTCACACTGTGGGACAAGGCAGCATCTGGGGCTCCAAAGGCACGTGGCCACCCCAGTGCTTTGATCCACTCTGGAGCACGGCTGGATCTGTGAATCCTTCCCCCTCTGCAGGTACTGCCTGACTCCTGGCAGGGTCCTTCTTCCTTTAAATCCTCACCAAGGAGCACGACAGCAGCACCACCAGAAAAGGAGGAAGAAAAAAATCTCATTTAATCAAAGAGAATATTAAAGCTGAGCTTTTTGTACAGCAACGGGCCTCAGATGGAGAAATCCCCTCCATCGGCAGAGGGAAGAGCGAGGGAGAGGGAAAGACATAAAAAAGCATCAGAGTTTTAATTAAAAAGCTGCATCCTGCTTTCGTTTGCAGCTTGTTTCCAGATCCCTTCATTAGGCTTTACCCTTTAAATGCTCGTTATCAAAGCTGTACAAATTCCACTGACTTGGGATGTGCATTTGTGGAAGAGCCCTTTTTGTCTGTGGGTTGGATTGCAGATGGGGTATGGAGGGGCCAGCAGCAGAGGGAAGGAGCAGAAATTGTTGTCTCAGGGAGAAGCATCCCGGCTCCAGGGATTTTCTTCCATTGCTCTCACGGCCAGGCTGGCTAATGGCCAGCTCCAGCCAGGCCACCTCCGTGGGGCTGCTCCTGACCTTGCACGAGGCAGAAAGGAGAAGCCAGGTGTGTTGGAAAGAGTTAATTTGGCTGTTGGAGGCTCAGGAGGGCCTGTTAGGGCCTGCAGCCCCCACCACACCTTGTCTGACCCAGCAGGAGCATTTCCAGAGGAACTTCAGGTCTGCAGAGATTTTGCTGAGCATCTTGCCATGAATATCGCTATCCGTGCTCCTGGAACTGAAGGGAGCTCCCTGCCTGATCCCCACAAGCTGCATCAGAGTGGGGTTTGGCCACTGCCACGGCCCCCAAACCCTCTTGTCCTAAGTGCCACAGGACCTTTCACAGCCAGTGGTCTGTGCCTTATTTTCAATTAGAGCACTAATGACCCCTTCCAAATTGGGCTGCTGAAGAACATCGTCCTGACCCCTCAGATGCACTTTAGGATCTAGAATTAAAAGAGAGCCTATAATGCGGGTAAAGAATCCCTTCTAAAATCCCTCATTTTGTGTATATCCCCCTTGTTGGTGCTTTTTCAGGCCTCTGGCCGTGGTGCTGGGCTGGGAAGGAGGACGTGGCAGCTCGAGTGGGGTCACAGCCAGGCTGTGTCCGAGCCTGCTCTGCAGCAGCGTTAAATGTTTAATCCTTGGAAGAGCAGAGAGGCCGGGACACCTGGGCCTGGCACTCACCCCTGCCAGGCTGTCCTGCCTAATCCTCAGCAGAGCAGCAGCAGCCAGGGTGCACAAGTTCAGTCCCTGCATGTGTCAAGACTGTTTCCCTTTCATGCCTGATGCTGGGGACTGAAAAATCAGAGCATCCAATGTGGCAAGTGACCTTGAGCAAACTGTCCAACCTGGAGACGGATGGGACTTTCTCCAGGCCTCGTGCAGGATCACTGGGGAGCCCAAACTCCTTTCTGTTTTCGAGGTGTGAATGAATGCTGGATGCTGCTTTTGTCCTGTTACCCAGCCCTCAGACGAAAAGCCCAGCTTGCCACCAGGGTCAAAGCCACCATCAGCTTACAATCCTGAATTTAGGACCTTTTCTCCTAAAATAAAACCTTCACTAGGATGAATTGCCACCTAGCCAGGTGGCCCTGGTCCCTCAGCTGGGTCCCAGTGACAGCTGTGGGGAGCGTGTTCCGCAGCCAACTGCCGGACCTGACAAGATGTGTTAATTAGGATGTGATGTTCCTGGATGTGACACTGCTGAAGCACAGCACAACTGGCAGTGTCACCCAGGGCGGGCAGCAGGGCCACAATGCCACCTTTAATTAAAGGGAAGCAGCGCTGACAGCGAGGTGGCCGTGCCAGCACAGGGACCCTGCTCACTCCAGAAAGGGCCTGGCATGTCTGTGGCTGTTGTCCTGTTGTCCTCCAGCTGGTCCAGAGGGACCATCACTGCCCAGGAGCAAACTCAGCCAGCAGTTTCTGCTTTCTGTCTTTCCTGAAAAAGGGCAAAGCCAGGGCACCAGCTGATAAGGGACTGTGATATCACTGAGATGTGGGTACCTCATTTAGGTGCAAGGTCTGCTGAGGTGGGCAGATTTGACTTAAACCCGCTCTCATCCTCTGCCTTGGATCCTCTCCCTTGTGCTGAGGTGGAGTCTGACTGACCTGGAAGTGCCCAGGGAGAAAACCTGGTTGTAGCTCCAACAATGCATCTACTCACAGCTCCTGCCCTCTGTCCTGTTCCTCTCTGGCTGTGCAGGATGACCCCAGTGTACTGTTGGGATGTTGGGGTCATGTCCCCCACAGCAGGGAGGATGCCAGGAACCCAAGCCATGAGTGTCCTGCAGGGCTGGGGTGTGAGACCTGCAAGGGCCGCGGTGCTGTGTGTGTTTGGGGTGGGTCACCTCGTTACTCACAACCTCATCAAGATTCATGGCACCAACAAAGCTCCAAGGGTGACTGAAGGAATATCTGCAGCAGATGATCTTTGGGGAAAGCCACTGCCTTTGCCCCAGACTTGGGCCACCTTTTCCAGATTTCAGGCCAAGTTGTTTCTGACTTTACACCAGAAGCGTGTTTATTTTTTGCATAACCACAGCCACATAAGCCAGGGAAGGATCTGGCTTTTCCTTGATGCAGCCATGATACCCTGGGCCTGGTCCTGATGCAATCTTTGTCTCCATGGCTCCTGGAAGTGCTGTGCTGCTGGATCAATGGAAGTTATTTCCCAGTACACTCTGGACTATGCACACGGGCCCTGTTAGGCAGGTGAATGGTGCAGCTCGCACATCGTTGTTGCTCTCTAATTGTCATTGCTCTACAAGGAGCTCTGGATGTATCTCAAGTGGAAATAATAACCCCAGTTTTATGGGAATGTGGAAATATATACCCAGCCTAACTCCATACAAGGGCAGAGCCTCCTCCCCCACGCACCAGTTGTGATTGCTCTCCACAGCGCCAGGGGAGCTTTTCTTGAGCAAATGGCACATATTCCCATTTCCGCACAACAGGCCTCGGGGAAAAGGCAAAAGGTTTTCAGAGTTGTCAGTGAAGCCTCTGCAGGAGGACTCCCTGCAAGGTGCACCCTTGCCTTGTCTTCTGTATCTGGGCTGGCTCTCCAGAGCCATGAGGCCCCTGGAAGGTGTCCTCAGTTCTCCGATGATAATCCATGTCTTTATGGAAGTAAAGATCCCAGAAGAGACCACTGCCATGATTGGGTCAGGATCCGTGCATAGGCACAGGGAAACACTGGCTCTGTCTTGCAGAGTTAATGATCCTAGTGGAAAACACAATCTCAGGCACTTTGGAGATGCTCTCCCAGTGGTTAAACCATGTGTTGGAGCCAATTTGGAAGCTCCAAGGGGGAGGTTTCTCCATGAGAGCCTGTCCCATCCTTCTCACTGAACCTTTGGCTCAATCCATCTTGGCTCAGTGCCCCACCATAGGTGCCACAGGTATCTCTGGGCTCCACTTTCCCCTTTTGGCCTTGGACTTCCCTGATTGCTTCAATTCCTTTCAAAACTACAAGGGGGTGTTTGGTGCTTTGGACCTGATGTGTCCTTTCTGTATTTCCCCCTGAGCTGCTTCCACCTTCTGGTGTTCCCATCACCTACTGGAGTATTTTGTCTCTGTATTCCATTTTCGAGTACACTTGGCTCTGTGTCACCTCTCTCCTCCATCCTCCTCCTCACCTTGTCCTGTGCCCCACCATGGTGTCATTCACATCCTACAAACATCACCATTCCCCTCCTCTCTACTCCAAGATTCACAAATTTCCATCAGCCAAAACCAGAGAATGGACATTGCTTGGATTTCCTTCTTCCATTGCCAATGGATTGAAAATTAAAAAATAAAGGACCCTTGTGTTTTGGGATGGGAAATAAAATGTTGGGGGGAGAGAGGAAAAAGTATTTCTCAACATAATGAAAACACAAATGGACAAGATAATTATCTTCATAAGGGCTTGGATCCGTGACAATACATCTCATTTTATAAAGCCCATTAGAGTTGGAATTTTATGCAAAACACTAAAAGAAATCTAAAAATATAAGGCAATAGAGGCAAAGCAATGGGGATTATTAAAGGGGGAGGCGTGTTATATTGGAAGCAATAAACCCTGGAAGAACCAGGAAAAAAATGTTCCAGTAAAACTGTAATAAATGGCTGGGGTTTAATCACTTGGTAAATAACTAAGATATTTCTGCAGGTTTTACACTGTCACTAAAAAAAATAATCCAAACCCCTTGTACATTAAGGATTCAGCCAAGATGGTTTTTCTGAAGACAGAATCAGGGAAGAGTGTCATTTCAGCAATTCCCTTTTTTAAATAATAGTGTATTATTTTCTGCATGGATCCACTTTTCCAACCTCTCCCTTGCTTTTAAGAGATCATTTACCATTAGCCGGGTTTTTCTCCTGTTCCCCACTCAGCGTACTCTTGAGTCTTTGAACACACAAAATTATATTATTCCGAGCAATCTTCCCCACCACAGCAAAAAGCAAACACTTTGGGAAACTCCTGGAGGGTCTCATTTTTAATAATGATCTTTCCTGTGCTTGGACCCTAATTGAAGATATTATATGGATGTTTTAGGAAATAGAAGCACATTTTGTATGGCTTTTTCTTTATGTATTAAATAGCTGGAATCTAAAGAGTCCCTGTTCGTCCAACCCAAGTTACGGTGCATTCTGTTAAAATGAAAATAATTTAATATCCTCTCCTTATTTTTTTTGTTTTTTTCACAACCACCCCCACGCAGCTGAACGAAACCCAGCTCTCAGTTTAATTTTTAGGGAGGTGGGGAGGAGGTGCCTAAATCCTGAGCCTGCCCCATCATCAGCACCAGCCCAGCTGGTTCCAATCCTGAGCAAAACCTGCCTGTCAGTCCAGCAGTGGCAGAGGCTGCACGGGGAACTGGTGGGGTCACCATCCAAAACAGAGTGGTGGCAGATGTGGCACTTGGTGATGTGGTTAAGTGGCTGCGCTGATGTTTGGTCAAAGATTGGACTTGATCTTGGAGGTCTTCTCCAGCTTTGTTAATTCTGTGATTCTAAACTCCTCACTCATGGTCTCGTGGGGCCCTGATGTGACCCCTTCCCTGGCAGAGGGGACATCACCCCTGGGGCACCAGAGACACCTGGGCTGGGGCTGGGGCTTTTGCCTTTGAAAATCTCACATCCCTCCCAGCAGGACCATCACATCCCCTCAGCACTCACGGCTTTGCCAGGAGAGCTGGGATCAAAGCCCCACCACAACATTTCCTGAGCAATCTATTAATGCAGGAAAACCATGATGGAGCATCATGGTGAGAAACTGAGGGTGCTGTTCATCAGGAAACCAGCCCCTGGTTCACCCCTCTGACTTGTTCAGTGTCACTTGGAGAGCTGACCCCTGTGCTGTGCACTGATTTAATCCTCCTGGGTCCATTAGTGCTCCCAGGAGATGCACACCAGCTCCACCAGCACAAATGGGAGTCGCAGTGGGGGAACCCATGCAGTGGAGGTTGGTAAATCAGCCAGGAGCTCACCCCAAGTCCCTCTGGAAAGCAAACAGGAGGTTCCTTCATAGGATCACGGAAATTCCTGAGCTGGAAGGGATCCACAAGCATCATCAAGTCAAAATTCTGGCCTGGCAGAAGACAACCCCAAAAACAACTTCTGGTGTAAAGCAAGCAGCTTTTTGCTGCAAACATCCCTTTTGATTTATTATGAAGCGTGGAGCTACACACACCCAACTGTGCCAGGGCTTTGCCAAGGTCGCAGCAGGAGGAGGCTGAATTTAAGACCCAACATATGTGTGCAGCAGACCCAGCTCTGATGTGGCCCCAGGGAAATTTGTGTCAGGCTAAAGTGGGATTAGAAAATCTTTGAGTGTCTCCACACCTCGATTCTCCCTCCTGTTCAGCTGAGCTGGAGCAGCCCTTGCTGTGTGGCCAGTTTGGGGACAGGCACCAGAACTCTGTTCTGCACCAGAACTGCTCCAGCAGAGAATATCCACTCTCCAAAGAGATCTGGCACACATTTGGTGTGGAGATTGCGCTGTCAAAAACAGCTTGCTTGCCTGGAATGACATAATAAAGGGGGATTTATGAATGCCAGGTTGTCA